GACATTAAACAGAGAAGACTGATTGTAATGAAGTAGGGAGACTCCGGTGAACTGAAAGCCTGTTGTAATAGGATAGTTGAATGTTGTTGGGGAAAAAAGGATACTGTGTTTAAAGTGGGTGCTTGATATACTGACTTTGCAACTACAACAGTTTGTGGTTGTAAATTAATATGGAATGACTGGCATGTAAGAGAGAGCACATATAATTGGGAATCAGGGTCCATGAGAATGGAGAACATGGCACTGTCTGCATATGTATTAGAATTAGATTTGCTTTCTAATTGCAGAAAATCCAAAATAACAATAACTAAGTAAAATACAGTTTACTTCCTCATTTAAAAGAAAATGTGCATGGGGGAGGAGGGTTGTCACTTTGTGAGGGGTGAAAAGGATAACTATTGTGTTGTTTTGTACTCCTGAAACTCATTTAAAAAAAAAAGCAAAAAAATGTGATGTTGGCATTACCCAGTGCCAGTACGTGAATTCCATGTGGGCATTAAGGACTCACATTCTTTCCAATTTCAGTTCTGCAAACCAGCCATTTCCATGGCTACTTGTGTCCAGGGTGCCCACTAGAATTTCAGTCATCCCATTTTCATTCTAGGCAGCAGGGAAGAGAAAAGGAAAAGGGTTAGTCAGATCTTTCCCCTGCTGTCATTCCCCCTTTTGAGCTGATTTTTCCAGAAATCACTCCCAAAAATTTCTGGTTGCATGATAATTATTCCTAGTTACATGGCCATAGTTTGCTTTGAAGAATACTGGGAAATGTACTATTTTGGCTAGGTACATTACAACTCCCTAATAATGTAGGGGCCTTGTTAGTAAGATGGGAAGAATGAATATGGAAAGGCAGCGAGGAGTCTCTGCCACAAATATTGATTATCTGTGTGAACAGGGAAATTGCCAAGATGAAGGAAGAACAAGGATGTACCATGGGCAATTGATTATAAGCATAGCAAGATCAAGTGGAAGAGGGTGGCATGTAACCTAGACTAGCATGTTCAGAAGATACTGAGAGAATACTGGAATGGAAGCTTATCAGTGGATACAAAGAGAAAACCAGCCCTACTTGCCAATCCTGAAATATAGGAACAGTGTAAGAGAATTACAAATCACTGCTCGGGAGAACTGCAAATAACATGATTTCAAGAAACATGCAGAGCTTAGATAGGGAGAAGGACTCTGAGAAGGTGTATGGGACTTTGCTGATTATGAATGCAGGGGATTCAGTAGAAGGAATGGGGTCATGGGGAAGAGGCGTGGGCTAAATTGGGGCAAGAAAATACAGTTTATAGTTGAGAGGAGTGATGATGCAGTGAGCAGCGATTCTTAACCTTTTGCTCACCTATCCACATGAGTTAAAAAAAAAAACCCACATATCTCCCAATATATTACATAAGTTATTTAGAAATTACATTTATGTACTGACATACTAACACTATAGGTATTATAAAAGATATAAAAATGGAACTTTAAAAAGACAGATAAAAATATTAGGAATACTAGTATTTTTTTTCCCCTACACTCCAGCTAATTGTTTTGGCAATTTCTGGAATCATCTGGGTCTCAAAGACCTCCGCCTCAGTGTATCTTAGGGTGGTGGCTCTATTAGGAGAAATAAGAGCAACCTGGCATGAAATTGGACCTGTTAAATTAATTAAACAACGAGGCCATTAGACTGATGTGGCTCTAATGCTGGGGCAGCCTGTGTATGTAAGCAAACTGAAATCTGAGCTAGTAAATGCCTCCCAGTTACTAAATCAAAATGCTGAGCACACCCAATCACAGGCAGCCAAGGAGGCTTTAAGCTATAGCCAGCCAATCAGATGATTTCCTCTCTTTGCTTCCACACTTTCTCTATACAAGTCTTTCCCTGGCTTCTGTCAGCTCAGTGCTCCTAACCACTTTTGGTTTGGGGCTGCCCTATTTGAACTGATTTTTGCTCAAGTAAACTTAACATTTTTAATATGCCTCAATTTATTAACAATCCCTACTCCTAACTAAAAGTCTTCCTCTTAAAAATAAGAGCAGTAACACTTAAAATTCTTCAGAAAGTTTTAGTAATATAATAAGATGTAATAAAATTAAATTTGGGGGATGTAAAAGCTATAGATATTGTTATAGATATTGTCATGTAAAGAGATGACGTTTGATCTGAGATCTCAGCAAAATCAAATAGGCAGGACGTATAAAAGGTGAAACTACGTATATTAAGGATGGAATCACAAATCATTAGAAAAAGGAAGGAGTATTTACTAAGTGACTTTGAGACAAGGTGCCATTAACTTGGGGGGAAATGCAAATTAAAGAGTTAAATTTGAAAAATTAAACCATAAGAAAAACCATGCAACTAAATATCAAGTCTAAGCTTTCTAAGCTTAGAACTGATAGAGGGAAAAATCACAAATAATAGCTTTGAGTACATAAATATTTGAATCCTCTGTGTTTTAAAACAACATTCAAAAATGGAAAGACGGCATAGTATTTGCAGCCTATATGTTTATTATCTAAAGAGCGTGTGATGCACTTTAAATAATGAATGCAACAAAAATGCTGGAAGAAAGACCTAACAACTCACAAAGAAAAGGTGTTGAGGAGTTCAATTAGTTTTAAGAAAAAAAGCTGACTAAAATAGGTACAGAACTTGAATAAATCAAAAGAAATATGACTGGTTTAAAAAGGGGAGGCGCATTTAACCATGCTTCAAAAGGGGTGTGGGTGTGGGTGTGTGTGAGGGAGTTATGATTAAAATCTCACAGATAAATTGGAAAAGGACCTGGATAAGTTGCTAAAGAAATATGACTAGTTAAAAGGAGGAGAAATGACAGAAAATGTGGTCACATTTGTGATTAAACCAGTAGATATTTAAAACGAGTGCTTTTTTGCTGCTTAAGTTAGCATCTGTCTTTGTATCATAGTGATACCCAATGCTGGCTAGTATGCAGTGAAAATGAAAGCACCATATTTTACACTGTGTGGCAGTATAAATCTGTATGATACTTTTGGAACTCCAATTTTTTTCCCTCTCATTGATACCTAGATGGACCAAACCCTTAAATTTGATTTGTGGAAATAATGCATTAATAAATTAAACTTCAAACTCTCAAACATGAGATAGTCCTAAAAACCAAACTAAGCATTAAAAAACAGTTCCTTCAAGGCCAGCTGAGTGGCTCAGATGGTTAAGAGCTCACTCAAGATTGTGAGCTCTGAGCAACAGGGTAATTGGTTCGATTCCCAGCCCGAGCTGAGCTGCCAACAGGTGGCAGGATGGCTCAGCTAAAAAAAATAAAATAAAACAGTTCCTTCAGATAAAGCTATTAAAATAAAAAACACAAATAGAATAAATAACTATGTATTATGTGTATATTAATACATTTTTAAAGATATGATCAGTTAAACATAGTTAAGTTGGAAATCCTGAGAGTAACTAACGGATACCAGCCATGTTATAATGCTCTAGTAAATAAGGCAGCAATAGAATTGGACTCTTTTATCCCATGGAAACTTAATATATGATAATGAATGATAAAAATGGCATTTAAATCAGTGGGACAGAATGAGCTATTCTTTCATTCATGTATTTTATCTATTCAGAAAATGTTTATTGAAGGCCAAGCACTATCATAGATGCCGGGGATACATCAGCAAATCAAATAGATTAAAATTGTTGTCATCATGGAGTTTAAATTCTAGTTGTACTAGAGACAGAGGATAAATAAATAGAAGATAATTACAATACTGAGGAAAAAAGTAGAGCAGGGAATGGTGGGAGTGTTCGCAAGATTCCGTTTGGGGAAAAAGTGTTATGTCCTATTTCGTACTGTATAAAGAACTGCCACAAGCCAATTTGTTAAAAAGTATACAACCCAACAGGAAATTTGGTGGAAGTTTCTTGTCTTTTCTTTTGATAGATATTCCTAATTCATAAAGGAGGATATAAGGCTATTCTGTATATCTAACACCTATTTAGTAGTAGTCAGGAAAATGCAAAATCAAATAGTGAGATACCACTTTCAACCCTGAGATTGACATTCAGTAATATTTTTTTGTGAGTTTGTGGGAAATGGGTGTTTGTAAATGTTGGAGATATACCTGTATATTATTAATATAGTAATCCGTTTTGGAAAATAGTTTAGGATTAGCTCTCAAAATGAAAAAGGTACACATACTATGACCCAGGAATTCCACTTCTTGCTGTTTACCTGAGGGAACTCTTGAATGTGTTTGCAAGAAGGTGTGGTAAGGCAACACGATCAGTAGTAATGAACAGCTAAGAACTATCTAAATGTGCTTTAGGTAGAATGATGTGTCCGTCCTGTGGAGCAGTGGAGCACTAACACAGATCTCCAAAATGTTGTTGAATGTAAGAGGTAAATTACAGACAATACGTGTTCGAGTGCACACCAGTGATAACAGTTACCACCCAACTGTTCGCAGCTTTTAGTGGAAAAGCTGTTAGCGTTGTGGTGTTAGAGAGTCTTTAGCTTTAGCCTTCATTTTCATTAATTTTGTAGAGTATATTTATTTTTATTTGGATATATAAAAATGCTTAAAACGTTCTTCCTGTGAGCCTCAGCTCAAGTCCCATTTCCCACTGCCCCAGTCCATATTGTATGCTTTATCACTATCCCTTATGTGACACTTGGTTCGTGCTCTCATACATGTAGGTGGTTTTTCTGAGTGCCCTGACTTACCAATTAAATTACAGATCCCTTTGACAACTTAGGAATCAGTCCTTGTTTAAAAACATGCCAAAGGAGAATGCCTTACTTGGTAAAACTTTGTTGTCATCTTCATAAATCTGTTGCATTCTTCAAATAATATTTTTGTGTTCTTTATATTTCTAAATGAGATTGACAGTAAGTCAAGACTTTATTTCTAAATTCACCTAAATTTTGGGTGATTTATTCAACAAAACATATTTTAAACATTCAGTCATAAAAAAAGATGTTAAAAAATGAAATTGTTCATATTATCTTATTTTTCTTTTTTTGTAGGTCGTTTATATGCAATGCAAACTGGAATGAAAATTGATAGTAAAACTCCTGAATGTCGTAAATTTTTATCAAAGCTAATGGATCAGTTAGAAGCTGTAAGTTAAACAGTGATAATTTATTTTCTGATTAGTTTAAAATGCCATTTTTATTTCATTTGTGTATGCATGTGCTGTCATTTTAGATCTTTCTCTTGGTAGCATTCAGTAGTGTCATTATAGTTGAGGAAAAACAGACACAGTTTTTTTTTATTATTTACATCATTCTGCTACGGGAGTTGTAAGCGAAATTTAAAATAGGTCCCATTATCTTTGCATATACCATTATGTCTTGTTCCATGTTATTACAGATGGCCTTCGAGTCATCTTTTCATAAGTGATGAACCCTTTCTAACCTTCCCTCATGCAATCACATGGATGATTGAAATGGTTATTTATTTAGTGAAAGGAACAACGAAGGAAATGATACCAGTTGCCTATCGTCTCTTCCTCCCACTCTTGGTTCCAGGGTAAGATGCTCTTATGGTCCAGGCATTCACCCCTGTTAGAAGAAATGTGGTAGGTGACAAAGGAGCCATCTTAAAGATTTCACAGATTATGGAGAGACACCAATGTATAGTTTCACAGGTTATTTGCAAGTTATTCAGATCAAAGCCTAGTTGTGTTAAGCAGCCATGGGCAGTAGTGTTCACTGTCTAACTTGGTATGGGTGTCTGGCCTTCTGACCCAGAGTCCCTGTCCTCTGCTACTGTTAACCATCCAGGATGGTTCTGGTGGCACCACTGATGGGAACACAGATGTCCCTGGAGTCTGTCTGGTCTTCCACTTCTAACACTGCTGTAAGAAAAAGTTGAGTACTCTTTTTTTTGGAGGGTGGAGTTAGAAGGCAGGAGGAAGAATGTGTCTTACATGTAGTGATATATTTGTAAAATCCCATTTCTAATGGACATTTTATATAGACTATATCTCTTTATTATTTTACATATAACAATAATAGGTTGAATAATAATAGCTTTTGGATAACACAAAACTCAGTTTTTCATAATAAGCAAAATGTAAAATCACACTTATAAAGGGATTCATCAGGAGTATATTATTATCTAAATTAAATAACAATCAAGTTTATTCCATGGTGAGATGACATTTGCCTGTACTATAATGTTTATATTACAGTTGGAAAACTTTTAGTATATTATATTTTTGCTGCCAGATATTTTATGTTGAAGATGAGATGATGTACTCTTACTAAAATCTTTCTAGAATTAAACCTAGAATTATTTCACAGTTTGGATACAGTAAACTAGTGTTATATTGTGGGCCTTTTTCTGTTTTTGTTCAGGATAAGCATAGCTAAAAAATTCCTAAATTCCAACATTACACCTCTTCTGGACATTAAATTATTTTGTTGTAATTATGAGAATATTTACTTTGTTGATTTTATGAAATATTCTGAGGCCATTTTTAAATTTAATTTTTCATCTTATAATGTATTTGAAAAAAGCAATATTAGAACAGTAGTATGGTGCTAAGATCTAGTAGTCCAGAGGGTCATTTATTTCAATATGGCAGTTGGAGTAAAATGTAAGAACTTAGTTTGTTGTTTTTAAAATACTTTAAATTATTGTATGTGTAGGAAAGGAATGTACTGATTGGAAATTAACACAGTTCTGACTTGTATTGATTTGAGGTATATATTTGTCTAAATTTTAAAAACTTTCGTAATCCAGTGCTAAGTTTGTCATACATTACTTAGAATTAGATCTCTTTTTTTACTAATGTGCACTGAAAGTTACTATTTTAGATTATATTGATCTAGTCTTATTTTTTTATTTGACTTTTTTTTTTGAGAGGAAATTGAAATTAGGATAAATTAAAATTTTAAATTATATATGGTTGGGAAAGAATTTCCTAATACCATTTTTAGGATACCTGTAGTACATTGGATAATACATTATTTTGAAATATTTATGTGATGCTTTAAAATAGCTACTTGGATGTGTTATCTTTTTGTCTTGGTTATTTTGATTTTTAGAGCTAAATTATACTTTCAAGTTATCATGAGTGTGTTTCTTTAAAATTTTGTGAACATTGATTGGATTTTACTTTAAACACCTTGGGCTGAGGCAGAGCAATTTTCTTTTCTGCAAGATTTCATTGATACATCTTTTACTAAAATGAATGTAAAATAATTTACTTAAAATGATTATTAGGATAATTTGTACTTAAGCATACACTTCTGTAAGTCCAGAATCATGAGCTGTGTATCTGATTTTGTTTTAGCTTAAGAAACAGTTGGGTGATAATGAAGCTATTACTCAAGAAATAGTTGGTTGTGCCCATTTGGAGAATTATGCTTTGAAAATGTTTTTGTATGCAGATAACGAAGATCGGGCTGGGCGATTTCACAAGTAAGTAAAGAAGGAGGAAAATAAAAATGATAAGTTTAGTTATTCTTTAACCAGAATTATCCAGTTACGTATTGAATGCTTTCTGATTTCCTGATTAATGATTTAGGTTTTTAGGTGTGTTTTTTTAAATTGTAGAATCTCAGAGTGATTTTGGGTATCAAGTGCAATCCTTTCTTTTTAAACAAAATGGCCCGAAAGAAGAATATCCAGGACAGATTTATTTTCTCAGTAAATATACCCTAACTAGCCATTCTTCAACATTTTTCAAAATCTAAGAGTTGATTTTAGCCAAGAACACCCTGGTTCAGTGATGTTGATTTTAAAAACTCCCACTCATGGCCCGCCGAGCGGCTCAGTTGGTTAAGAGCACGAGCTCTGAGCAATAGGTTCGCCGGTTCGATTCCACATGGGCCAGTGAGCTGCGCCCGAGCTGGGCTGATGCTGAGCTGTCAACAGGTGGCAGGATGGCTCAGCTGGTGAGACCACGTGCTCCTAACAAGGTTACCGGTTTGACTCCCACATGGGATGGTGGGCTATGCCCTCCCGCAACTAAGATTGAATATGGCACCTTGAGCTGAGTGGACTTGGAGCTGAGCTAGCTGCGCACTCCACAACTAAGTTTGAAGGACAACAACTTGGCTTTTCCCCTTCCCCAATTCCCCAATAAAATCTAAAAAAAACCTCCCACTCCACCAATTGAAATAATTTGTCATTATTATGATAATACTTTAATGCAAAGAAATGCGCATAGCTTGATATGCATTTAGATAACACTGTAATATACTTTTTTCTAGTATCAATTGTAGACTATAAAGCCTTACTGTACCATATTTGCCTGTAATATGAGTGTTGTTACTTTCTCCTAATAACATTATAAGAGGAGCTCCATTGTGTTCTTAAAATTTGATTTTATTTAAAATACTAATTTTAGAATGCTTTTTATAAACATTGGAATTTTTTTCTTATGGCTACATGACTAATTCTACATCTTAATTTTTTTCAGTTAAACTAAACCAGCTCTTTTCTCCTCCAGAAACATGATCAAGTCCTTCTATACGGCAAGTCTTTTAATAGATGTCATCACAGTGTTTGGAGAGCTCACTGATGAAGTGAGTATATATTCTTTATTGTCTTATTAGCTGTAGATCAGTATTGTTGCTGTTTATCAGTTTTATTATTACATTGTTTAGTTAGAGCAGCATGTCTATCAGAAATGTAATGCAAGCAAAAATTTAATTTTAAATTTACTACTAGCCACATTTTAAAAAGTAAAAACAAAAGATGAAATTATTTTTAATATATTTTTATTTTGTGGTGAGCTGTTTGAATCCAGTGTGTATCTTACACTTTAGGAAATGCATGACTACTGTATTGGGCAGCACAGGTTTTGAGTTTGATTTTATGAAGTGTTTAAATATCACTAATTCTGTATGCTGTTAATTTTCTTCACTGTTATTTGGTAAACATACTGGGGCAGAGACTTTTAGAATGTATTTCCCCCTATTGCATTTCTAGTCAGAAATGTCACTGTTTATGATTTGTTTCTGGTAGAATACATATAGAACTTGATAATTTACAAGATACTTTCTATTTTTTTATCAGTTTGTTTCTCATATCTCCTCTAAGATAAGTAGAGTGCATATTCATTTTATCCATGAGCAAATTGAGGCTAAGTGACAAACATTGCTGTGATTTCAGTGTTGTTTTTACTGTAGCAAGAAAATTTGTTTTCTGAGAGGGGAGTTAATATCTGGAAAGAGAGAAAAGAAGAGCCATAAACGAGACTGATAGAAGCATGCTATATTGGTGATTTGAAATCTGTGAAAAGCATTGCTTTCTGTGCTATGAGTTTTTCAAAACGATGAACAGCTCATTGTAAAGTTCTAAATAAAACAAAGTGTAATCTATGAGATATTTGCATTTTTGTGAAACAGTATATCAAAACTGCAAAAAAATTTTATGTTTATATGTAAAATGAAGTTCTAAGCTTGATGATAAGCTGGGTGTTTGTATTGGCAGAGTTGTGCTGAACATTTCAAATCCTGCCGAGTGAGGGACAGTCTTATTGTCTATGATTGCTTCTTTTATTTCAAAACATCCATCACCCTTAGCCCTTGCACACATGGCATTCCCTAGTCATTCAGGTAACCAGAAACCACCCCCAGATACTCCCAAACCCCTGCTATTGTATGGGGCAGTGCCCATTTGGAGCCCCCGCTGTTCAGTTTTCCTGAGGCTGAGTGGTATCAGGAAACAGACCTGGAGTGTGAACGCTGAAATGCTTCTCAATGGGCAGCACCTCCTGTATCCTGAAGGCCCTGTAGACCCACTATGTGTAGCTCCCTTTCTACTCCCACCTCCTGTTCTTACTGATTCTTTCCCGCTCTGTTTTCACTAGTATGGGACATGATACTAGCAACTTGAAGATACAGAGGTGATTTAAACGTGACATTGTGGAAAGCTTTAGGTAGGTCAGTAGGGTTTCGGAGAGTTCCAGGTGGGCAAAGGAGAGTAACGGAGCTCAGGTTAGAGGAGTAAGTCATAAACCAGATCAGAACACACTCTAGTAGGAAGAAGGGAGGAGAAAGGTGACGCAGCAATGTGGCGTCTGAGTGAGCAAGCCGCGCACCGGAGGCCTTCTGGGTGACGTTTGTACATGAAGACTCTGAGTCTTTTACTTACATTCTTTTTGCTTTTCTTTTTAAAAAATAGACATTTTTGAAAAGACCACTGCTTCACCAGCTAGATTACTTCAAGTTACGTAATATTTTCAAACTATTTTCGAGCTCTTTTGCCCTGCACGTTGTTCTGTGTTGGTGTTGAATTGAAGAACCTGTAGGGATTTTTCATTTCCGGACATTGCGGGTTCGTCTGGCTTGTGGTGCTTCTTACCAGCCCCATTTCGTGTTTGTCAGGCCAGTCTGCTCACCACCTCCCAGCTTTGACCGCTGTGAACTTTGTATTTTTAGCCTGCTTTGCCTTAGCCTTACCTTCTCTTCAAGTCTAACATATTGTTCTAACCCTTATGTGAATTTCTCCATTCTCTCAACTCTTCCGCTTTTAGAGTCTTAACTGTGTGAATATTACTCCATAAATGTATTGACTTGAGTTTTATATAATATATTTTGGAATGAATTATACTGCCAGTCCATGAAGGGGGACTTTGTCATACTCTACACTTACATCTTCTTTGGCATTAAGTGCAAATTTGCACACTGAGTAAAAACAGTGGCCAATTAGTTAATATTTCAAAAGTCATTATAGTTCAGCTTTTTATTTTTCTGTCTGTAGGTGGAAATAATGTTCAGACCTGTTTACAGAGAACTTCTTTCATAACTCTTCTGAAATGTAATAGATCTCAATTACTCCCAGCATTTTGGTCTATTTCCTGATAGTTTTTCCCTTTTAATTTCATGTCATTACTCATAGTTGCACAGAACTAAATAAAGTCTGTATTTTCTTTAGTCTTCAACTGTTTATATATGTATATTTTATCTGCCAGTCTTGTTTCTCAACGGCCCTCTCTCTGTTTTAGGTATACGTATTGAACTCTTTTAACTGTGCCTTATATAATTCCATCTCAGTATTTAATTAAATTTGTTGTTATGTAAACTTCTAGCATTCCCGTAGATTTCTTAGAATCAATGTCCCAGTTTTAGATATAGAGTCACCAGAATATATATAAAAATTCTAAGTTTATACTTTAAAGCAAGGACTGTTTGAAACATAAATATTTTATTTTCCTACTGTATCATCTTGATTAATCTATTTATGGCCAATATTATTGATAGGCTTTCTTTTATTGTATTTTAGATTAATTTCACTTCTAGCAAGGTCTGAAAAGCAGATATCATTTTACCTTTTTTCCTTTATAGTCTTTGGTTTAGGTTTAACACTGCTAATTTAGGAAGAATATGAAAATCGCTGGAAAAAAATAATAATACTGCTCTTATCTATTGAGTTTCTGCTAATTTGAAGGAATCCAATGAATATGGTATGTTTTCCTGCCCTCACAGACCTTGTGTCCTAACTTAGAGAAGCAAAATAACTAACGAGAATGATATGTGGTCTAATAACAAAAGATAAAATACACAAAAGGAATCCACTGTTACCACTTGGCTGGCACTATGCTTAGACACTTTAGATATATTTTGTTTCACTTTTCAGGACTCTGAATTGCAGTGAGAGAACTGAGGGTCAGAAAAATATAAGTACCTTGTCCCAAGATGCTGTAGCCCAGAACTATGTTCTCAGCCTCTGATAAAGGTCCAGCTTTTTTTTCTCTTAATTTCCAATCTCTTGCAGACTGAATGTTTTGTAAAATATTATACAAGTAATAATTGAATTACTAGAAAAAAATGAAACTTAAAAAAGTCATGCAAAATGCAAGTCTAATTTGCTATAAGTTTCTTAAGTACTCTCAATTCTGTACTATTTTGTCACAAACTGGTAAGCGGTTTGCAGACTAGTGCTGGTTGTAGAACCACATTTTGATTAGCACTGATCTATAAATACATCCCTTTTTGGAAGACCCCACATCCCTCTGTGGAAGAGCAGGGCTACAACAGGACTGGAACGATTACATGTGTAGCTGGCTGTGAAGGAGGTAGTGTGTTTAAGGTAGCGATTGGCACTGGCAGTTTCTGAATTAAGCAACATCTTACTGTTAGCCTAGAAAGCCATGGGAGAGTGAGAGAGATTTATTGAATTGCAAAAGCATGTGTTCTGTACATACCATGCCTTAGGTTTTCATGTTCTTACTGTACACTGACGCTCTCATCCTTAGCAATTATAATAATAGATAGAAAAATATGAGGGTAGTATTGTCTGTTACTAGAGTAAGGAATTCCAGGTATCTTGTATTCCCCTCTGTATGAAAATTGCCAAGAACAGTGTCTTGTACTTAATATTCAATCGTGAATGAAAATTCCATATGCCACTTCATAACTGATTTTTGGGCAAGTTATTTGACTTATGTTCTCACTTATGTGAGACGCCTGTTCTCACATCTGTAAGATGAAGAAGATTATAATACCTACTCCTTCAAGTTACCCTGGGGGCAAAATGAGAAATACATGTAAAGCCCTTAGCAAAGTACCTAGCATATAGTAAATGCTTAAAAAACATTAGTTCTTGCTTTTATTAGTTGATGGGTAATATTCTAGCGCATCTCTCTATATATTTAGAGAGGACATCAGCAAATACATGAAAATAATAATGGAAACTTCCAAATTGCTCAATCTTACATAGTTACTTAAGTTGAATTTATTCAGAAATAGGCTATATGTATTACTACTAACTATATTTGGAGTCCCAAAAAAGAGAAAGAAAATATAGAAAAAATTTTTTGAAGAAATGGTGACCATAGATTTTCTAAATTGGGTGAAAAAACAGGTACAGATTCAAAAAGCTCGGTGAACCTGCAAGTAACAGAAATACAAAGAAACCATGTCTGAGAACATCATAGTCAAACCAGTGAAACTGAGCAATAGGAGATGAAATCTTGAAAGAGCAGCCTTGGGAAACCACGTATTGTACACAGAGTCACAATGCTCTGAAGGATGACGGATTTCTCATGTTTTAAAAGAGTGGTGGCAAGAAGATGATGAAAGTGACATATTTCAAGTACTGAAAGAAAAAAAAAGCAAATAAACCCTGTCAACTTAGAATTCTATATAGAGCAAAGGTATCCTTCAGAAAATCAAGGTAAAATAAAAGACATTTTCAGGCAGATTAAGTCATTGCTAGCAAATCTGCACTAAAAATCTAAAGCTCTAAAGAAGAACAGAAAGGAAGTTTTTCAGTCTGAAAGGAAACCAGGTGATGACTTGGATTTACAGGAAGGAAGGAAGTACACTGAGCTTAATATGTAGGTAAATATATTTTAAAAACTTTATATTTCCACTTTTCGTCATTTCTTTAAAAGATACATACCTATTTAAATAAAGGTTATTATAACTATACATATATATCTGGTAAACACAAAAGAAGGCAGGGAAAGAGAAGAGAGGGGAACAAAAAAAGATGGGACTAATGTAAAACAAATAGCAAATATTAGGCATATATCAGTATTACTATAAATGTAAATGGACTAAAAGTAGAGATTTTC